AAAAAAAAAAAAAAAAAAAAAAAAAAAAAAAGAATTACGGGATAGCTGAGATACGGGAAGTGTACTCCAATGTTAGGATAAAATACCTTTTTGTTGTAAAAATTTCCCCAACATACCAGACTAAATATCAGTGAGCTTACAAAACAGGGTTGGAAATGCCTAAAAACATGTGTGATAGGAGTCAGACCTGCTAGCTACCATGAAGTCTTGTTTATTTCCCTCTATAAAATAAAATCAGTATCCCAAGCACCGAATAGGAGAAAAGACATAGAAGAGCCAAGAGTTTAATTTCCCTCACACATCTGAAAGAACCTTACTGCTTAAATCTTATGGAGAAGTAAAATTATGTGATGAATTTTTTTAACAGCAGAGTTACTGTATGGTAATATCATAGATGAGAACCATATCATAGATGAGAATGGTAAAATAAACTATTTTTATTTTACAGGTAATTAATAGTGGAAGATTAGGGAGAAATTAATTTGTTTGAAGCAGCTATTCCTTTAAATAAACAAGAACATTTAGGAGAAATTGCTTGCCTATAACATCCATTTTAAGGCAAGCAATCAGTATGTGTACACCTGGGTCTACAAGATGATGGAATCATCTCTACATAGTCATTCACCAGGGATATCCCCTTTGGAAAAACTAAAACCAAAGTGAAGGGCATTGATCTGAAGAAACGTAAAGGTCATTGAAAAAAATGACCCGAATGTCACATAAGAAAAGAGAAGCTTGGAGATAAAGTTATATAATTTTGATTCCTTTACAGTATCCATATGATACTCAGAAGCCTCAGATGACCGCTGCCCTGGCTGACACCTTGATTGCAGCCTTGTAAGAGACTCTGAGCCAGAGCCACCCAGCTAAGCTACTCCTGGATTTCTGATCCACGGAACTGTGACCTAAAGAACACTGTTGTACTGCTTTAATCTTCGGGTAATTTGTTACACAGCAATAGATAACTAACAGTCGGAATCACTTAATCTGCCATTACTAGAATCCAGAAGTGTCTATATTCATTTATTCATGTGTTAGCTATTGTCTCCCCTGCACAGATGAGAAACCGAAGCGTGGCAGGCATTGAATTAGCTATCTAAAAGCCACTCAATCTGTTTTTCCCCTTATATTTCTCTAGCACTGGGGCTCAAAAGCCAAAACACTTACCTTCCCAGATTTCTTTGCATTTAGTAGTGGCCATCTGACAGTACTGACTAATGATATGTAAAAGTGTGCTGGGAAAGGACTTCCCTTGCTAAACAAAGGACAAAACCTTAGGAAGAAGCTTTTGTCCTATTTTCCTGCCTGGAAAACAAGGTTAGCAGTCATCTTGCTTTCATCCTCATAGTAGCCATGAGGTTGAATGATACACTCTAACAATGTAGGAAAGAAAAACAGGAAACCTAGATCCATAATGATTTCCTTGTGCAGATGCCCCTTTCTGGTCTGCCTACCTTCAAATTTCCTTTTACTTGAAACTAATAAACCCCTTCCTTCTTCAAGCCATTGCTTAGCCAGGTTTTTGTTGTTTGAAAAAGGGCATATTCCTAACTATACTGAGATAAAGAGAGGTAATTCAAACCCAGCTCTGTTGACTTTATGCCCTAGACTCAGATGGTAACATACCATCTGAATAAGAATAAAAACCAATTGGAAGTAGATTTTGATGCATACATGACCAGGTGTCCTGCAGACACGGATAAGTCCTGGACACTCTAGGGAGAGTTAGAAAATTGTGTTCTACGGCTCTACTTCATTGTCAATTTTCTACTTTCTCACCTCCAGAAGCTATACCTTGGCTTCTACCGCTACCATTTCATCAAAACTGTGCTCATCAAGGATATCACTTAGTCCAAAATACAATGAATTCTTTTGTAGCTTATATGTCACTTAACCTCTCCACAGCACTTAATGTTTACTGGTTTCTCTCTCTTAAAATACCCTTCCTTCTAGGATTTCACTTTTTTTTTTTTTTTCTTTTCTTCCTATCGGCCTCTCTTCTCCTTTTCAATCTGGTCCTAATCATCATGTAGAAGATAATCCATTCTTTACCTGTATACTAAAAACCACACCGTATTGATTTTTTATAAGCCTTTTTACCTCTCTGTAAAAAATATATATACATAAGTGTATGATGTACATTTTACTTAACTCTTTTTTATGGTTTCTACTATGTATGACCAATGCAGCCATTGCCTTAAAATGTACCATGTAAATATAAACAGATATCAGAAAAAAACCCTGTTGATCTCAGGGGCCCTATAAAGTCACAGAACCTTTCTAATTGCTTTCATTTAGATGTTATGGCTTCTAACCCTACGGGGCTCTCAGTATGACTTCTGTGGTACCTCTCTTTATTTCTAGCCTATTCTCTCCTACCATATGTCTAAACATTTAACTCAAGCTCCCACATATACTAGGCCTGTTCCACTATCAACTCTTATCTGCTCCTCTGCACTAATAAGAGGTAATCAGATATGAATCCTCTTTGCTCTAGACTTTTTTCCTTTCTCTTGTCGCTTTTTCTTCCCCTCAAGCTTTTATTTGTGCTCTTGACTCTACTTCTCTAGCCTGCTCTTGGGTTTGGCTGCATCAATTTTGGTATTGCTGCATTTTACATTGATTTAACTCACACAAAGGCAGCTCTACATAAGGTCCCATTATGCCTTTTCTTGTGTTGCATCAGTTGAAGTTAGCTTCACTCCACTGCTAGTTGATTACTGTACACTAGAATGGTAGGTAATAGCTCTTCCATAGTTAATGTGCCTCATTACCAAGGGAGCTTGAAGTGCCATGAATAGAGAAGTGATCACGTTGCCATTCAGCTCATCCCTGATGAACTAAGCAATGCTTGATATCATCCAGCCAGATCATAACGTTAAAGGAAAGAACTACGTGGTGTGAATGGGACTGAGACAGTCACAAGTCTTCTGCTCTCCCACTAACCATCAAGTGTCAGGCATAACCACCAGTGAATGCACCTTGTCTTTGTGTTTTGATTCCAGTGGTTAAAACCATGTTGTTTTGTTTTGTTTGTTGTTGTTGTTCAACATGACCTCAAATGCAAGCCAACAACAGGAACCTGAGAGTTAGCAGTTACAATCCTGGAGATGTTACAGAAACCCTTGGGCCACACCTCCTCTAATACTGCTGTTACCTCCAAGCCTTCGGTGCTTTCAGTCAGCATCTTTTCTAAGTCACAGAAATCAATATCAAATTACATAAAACAGAAAAAAAGGTTTGTGAACACAAATGGATTCCTAGTTGATAACTGGCTGGTGAGCTACAGGATGGAGGGGTAGGGGCAAGGACTGTCAATTCAAACAAGATACAGATCAATCAAAATAAACATTATCATAAAGCCTTCAGATTTCTTAAGTTTAGCTGGGGATTCTCAGAAAGCAGAAAGGACCACAGCAGTGTTCTTCAGATCTGCACATCCATTTCCTTCTCTAAAAACCCATTTCCTCTCCCTTCACCCATTTCCTGATTCTAAAAGAACACTTAGCAAAGGCTTTGCATTAGTTATGAGACAAAGACAGAAGAATCAGGAACTAGCTCTGTAAATAAGTGGTTAAAGGAAAACCAAACCCTTTATATTAACTCCACCTTACAGCAACTATGATGTTACGCTTTGATCTTTTCATCTATGTTCACTTACACATATTATTGTCAATATCTTTGAAAAAAAAGAAAAACATGTAAGAATTAAACATTTTAAGGACCTTTCACAAACCAAATGACAGTAGGTTTTTATTAACATATCTTACAATGTTGATTATTCCTAGTTTTGTAATTTCTGCTTGCTTATAAAGATTGATTTAGCTTCTACAGTAATGTACTGTATTTAAATGATCATTCATACAAGGTATCACACCAGTACATTTTTTTGAATAATATACACACATCACTCTAACTTGGACCTGTTATTTTTAAAAGTGGGTTTATAAATGGGACTTATAAAAGTTATGGGGAAAAAATTAAAGTTCTAGTTTAGCAGCATGCATGTATGTAATTCAAGTACAATTTTCAACCAAGTGCTTTTTAAAATTTTACTGGTGACTAATTCACCAATATCAAAATAAACACTATCAAATACCCAAATTTTAATGTTAAGGCTAATATTTTCACTTCACATCCGTATGCACAACCATAAAACATTCCATTTTAAATATGTAGTAATCAAAGTCTGAGTACATTATACCATGTATATATAGCATCAGAGTTTCAAACTGTATAATTATTCAAGTTCATGAATCCTGTAACAGTATTTACTAGAGATGTAAATTAGCATTTTGTTCTTCAACCACACCTGAAGAACAAAAGTATCTGGTCTGGTATCCATAATGACGGATGCAAAAAATAAGACAGGCTGAACTTATGATACAGTATTTAAAAAAGTAGCAACGTGTTGGAAAGAACAGCTGTTTAATTAAACAGAATCATTCTAGTCTTTCAGAAAGTTAACTTAATATTTTGGAAATGTATATAAAAATAGCAAACTACTTCCATATTGTATTTTTATTGTAGAGCTATAGGTAATTTTTTGACTTTTTGAACATATTTGAATATTTACTCTTCTGTTTTAATGCAAGGCCATCGTTTAATGTCCACTTTTATATCCTGTAATATCATGTCATTCAATAATTTTTAGAACACAGATCTGACTTTATTTTTATAGTTTATCATTAGGTGTTTTTTAGTTTATTTTTACATGTAAAAATGTAATTTTATATAACAAGCCATGGAAGTCCAAAGTACCAGGAATTGCTTGATAGCACTATGTATTAAATAATCATCAAATTATTGAATCATTTGGAAGAAAAATTTTGGTAGCAATATATCACATGCTTTTCTGTCATCTTCCCTCTGTAAGTACAGAGTGGGTTTTA